CCCTAACCCTAACCCTGAGAGTGCTTGAAGGGTGGTTTCAGAGATGGTGGAGCTTTTTTTCATGGAGAGGAACAGCATGAGAAAGAAATAATGCCACCAAGTGCAGCTGGGGAGGTCTAGACTGAACATGAGGAGAAAGAAATGTCATTGAAAGGGCAGTGCTGTTGTGGAACAAGTCACCCAGAGGAAGACTGGATCAGCCCAGGGCTTTGTGTTTCAAGGAACAGCCAGGGAGGAGAGAGAAAGATACCAGTAAAGAAAGGAAGATGCTCAGCTGACAGCAAGGCATAGTAGCAGGATGGATCTCTACAGCCTGCAGGGAAACAGGTGATGGGATACCACAGGACAGGTTATGGTGGAGATGATAAAGAGATGTAGAAAGGCGGAAAGCCCCCAACAGAGATGAGCTCTCTCCCCCCTTGGCTATGGCTGTTGTCTCTGCCACTGATGCCTGTGAGGAGGCACCTTATCCTTACAGCACAGGGGCCTCCTTGCCTCCCTGTCCGCACCCAGGAACCTAGGAGGTGTCGTACCACAGTCCTGCCCTTGGAATCGAACATCCCCACATCACAGTGCCCCAGGAGCAAAAGTGTGAGGGACAAGATCTGCCTTTGCAGGGGCTGGGGGTCAGGACTTGGCCCTTTTGTTAATGGGGTCAGGCCTTGGCCCTTTGACTTAATGAAACACATCCAGGTTTACTCAGCATCTGAGCCAACTTCCCATTGCCTTTGCCTACCTGTCATCACTGCCTCCAGTTTTCTGCTCTAACCAGTCCCCAGGGAGGCTTTGTCAGTAATGTCCTTCAGTGGGACCCATTAAAGCTCCAGGAAACTTTGGAGTTTGCATGTGCCTTGCAATTCTTGAGAGATTTATTCACCTTTTCATTACTGTCTGAGGTTCATGGACTCAGCACCAAAGCCACCAGAGGAGTCATTAAAATGCCTTGGGCTGGGCCTCTGCTGCTGAGCTGGGCTGGGCTCCTGGGATGGAGGGAGCTCCTGGCAAGCGGGCAGCGCTGCAGAGAGACAGCTCTGCCCAGGAGCAGCTCCTCTGCAAAGCACAGCAGGGCTGAGGGCACTGCCTGCAGGCATCGAGGGGAGACAAGCAAGGCAGAGAGAGGACAGAGGCAACCAAGAGCGGGAGGGTGCTGAGAGATGAAAGGAGGAGGAGAAATCTTCTCAGCTGATGACAGGGTAAGTCTCTGGCTGCAAGGCAATGCAGCTGAGCTTCCTGGAGGTATCTTGTAAAGCTGGCATAGCTCACAGCCTATGGGATCTCTCTCCAGTACAGAAGGAGGAGGATGTGCTGCAGAGCAGGAATTCCCTACTGCACCATCAGAGGGACAGGGCAGGATGGATGCCTTCTCCCAGGGATGGCTGCAGGGGTGTGAAGGTGGGTGTGCAGCAATGTGTGCCCAGGGCCGTCCTTCAGAGCAGGGACCCTGCACGCCAGGGTCTGTGTGCTGGGGCAGGGACTCTGCCAGGGTCAGCACTCGGCCTGCCCGGGGATCTCCCAACGGTGCTGCAGGGAGAAGCTGTGGGTGGAAGGAGTGACCCCTGGCAGGGCAGGGTCCTTTTGCTGTCAAGGGGGTGCTGCATGGTTAAGGCTGCTCATAGCTCCACATCCCACCCAGGACATTGGCAGAGGCAGCATTTCAAGAGGAATAACAAGGCAGGGGCTACCTTAAAGATGAAGACCTTTCCATGGTCTGTGATCTCAGCTTTTTTTCTAACTGAAAGGGAAAAGGAGATGTCGAGTTTGGATAAGTTACTGAGGCTCCTGAACCGTTACACTGAGGGATCAGCAGATCTGCCAGAAACCTCATAAAGTGCCTTCACCCACTCTTCTACCTATAGGCAGCACCAGCATCACCTTTGCTTGCACCATCAGGGTTTGTCTTATCCTCAGGACCTGCAAACAGGGAGATGCCTCTGGGCAGTGCTCTGCTGCCAGGAGGTGTCTTTGGGGCACAGCTGAGCACAGAGCAGTTGGGATGGGGTCTGTGAGAACTGACAGGGAGAAGACAGGGGGACTGAGAAAGAGCTCCCAGCAGGGAGAGCTCCAGGCAGCAGAGAGCCAGGCCAACCCTCTGCATCACTCTCTCCTCATCTGCATGGGCAAAGAGAGAAGAGTTTGGAGAAATGGATTTTGAAACTGGACTCTTCCATGCTCCCAAATGTTCATTTTCTTCTTCAAGTATGTTCTTAGTGAAATCATTCTCCAATGGAAAGAGGTGTAAGCACAGGGCACATGCATGGTGACCGGCAGGTCACTCGTGGGCAGACCAGCTCTCCCAATTCTTCACTAGGGCACAAGGAGCCCTTTTCTCCCTCAGGGCTCACCACTGTTCAGGCTGAGAGCAATGTGAAAGATGAGGATTTCTGCCCCTTCCAAGTAAGTGCCCTCACTCAGCAGCACAAACCTGAGCTCACAAAAAGGAGCTGAACAAAGTTCTCCCAAAGAAAGAGAATAATTTGGGGGGGAATTTGTGGGAAACAGCATAGGATTGTCTCAAAGAAGTCTGCCCTAACTTGTCAATGTCTTCTCCTCTTTCAACAGTCCTCCATGCCCAGAGAGACCAAATGTCCAACACCAGCTCCATCACTCAGTTCCTCCTCCTGCCATTCGCAGACACACAGGAGCTGCAGCTCTTGCACTTCTGCCTCTTCCTGGCCATCTACCTGGCTGCCCTCCTGGGCAATGGCCTCATCATCACCGCCATCGCCTGTGACCACCACCTCCACACCCCCATGTACTTCTTCCTCCTCAACCTCTCCCTCACAGAACTAGGTTCCATCTCGACCACTCTCCCCAAAGCCATGGCCAATTCCCTGTGGGACACCAGGGCCATCTCCTACTTGGGATGTGCTGCCCAAGTCTTTTTTTTCTTTTTCTTTGTTACAGCAGAATTTTGTCTTCTCACTGTCATGGCCTATGACCGGTACGTAGCCATCTGCAAACCCCTGCACTATGGGACCCTCCTGGGCAGCAGAGCTTGTGTCCACGTGGCAGCAGCTGCCTGGGGCAGTGCGTTTCTCAATGCTGTGCTGCACACTGCCAATACATTCTCACTACCACTCTGCCAAGGCAATGCTGTGGACCAGTTCTTCTGTGAAGTGCCCCAGATCCTCAAGCTCTCCTGCTCAGATGCCTACCTCAGGGAAGCTGGGCTTCTTGTGATTAGCATCTGTTTATTCTGTGTGTGTTTTGTTTTCATTGCGGTGTCCTATGTGCAGATCTTCAGGGCCGTGCTGAGGATCCCCTCTGAGCAGGGACGGCACAAAACCTTTTCCACGTGCCTCCCTCACCTGGTCGTGGTCTCCCTGTTTGTCAGCACTGCCATGTTTGCCTACCTGAAGCCCTCCTCCATCTCCTCCCCAGCCCTGGATGTGGTGATGGCAGTTCTGTACTCAGTGTTTCCTCCAGCAGTGAACCCTCTCATCTACAGCATGAGGAACAAGGAGCTCAAGGATTCCCTGTGGAAGCTGTTTGAATATGATCTATTTCAGATTAATAAGGTGCCCATTATTCCACTAGGGCTGCCACCGTATCTCAGGAAAACCCAGGACTAACTTTTCTTCATATTTTTCTTTATTTATGTTTGTTTGGTTGTTGGGCTTTTTTTGGATTTTGTTTTATACCTGTTATATTATTATTATTGGCCTCCTACCTGTTTTTTCTTGACCCAAAGACCTCATGGACATATGGATCCAGGCTCCCTGTACAGAGAAACTCAATAAAGAAACCATTAGAAAATGATTTGTCTCAACTCCCATCTCTTCACACCTTCTCTGTGTCTGGGGGAGCAGGCCCAGCATGCAGGAGGGGTTCAGGAGCAAATGCCCAGCTGCCCCATGGAGGAGAAGCCCCAGTTGCCCTTGGGGCTGCCTTGGCGGGCACTCCCTCTCTGCTGCCTGCAAGTCAGGGCTACTGCTTCCCCAGAGCCATGGTCATGGACAGCATCAGGATGGGGTCTTTTCAGTGCTGGTGTCTCCTCACTTCCACACTGTCCTGCCATGTCCTTTGGTTTGTACAAACCCTAAGGCCTTCTGTAACATGAGACAGTCCTGTTGTCTCTACACTGGCATCCCTGTGGCTGCGGGCAGGAGCAGGCCATGTGAACCACGGTGTCAGAGCTGGCCTCCCTGCTAGCACCAATGTAAGCAAATGGTCTCTTCAGGGCAGGGTCAGAAGGCTGGATGCCTCTTCCCAGGCTTGTTCCAGGAATGCACCCAAGGAGCTGCTCCCTCAAAAGGACTTTTGCTCTTCTGGGATCGTCGTGGTTTAACCCCAGTCAGCAACTGAGCACCACACAGCCGCTCGCTCACTCCCCTCCCCACAGTGGGATGGGGGAGAGAATCGGAAATAATAATATACAAAGCAAGTGATGCACGATGCAGTTGCTCACCACCTGCTGATGGATGCCCAGCCAGTCTCTGAGCAACAGTACTCTCCTCCCAGGAGGGGTTAAATGGATCCAGTTTGTACTGGTAGGGGGCCCAGTCTGTACTGGGAGGGAAGCAGGGGATCCACTTTGGAGTGGGATGGGGCCCACTCTATACTGGGAGATTTTAATGGCATCCAGTTAGTACTGGGAGGGGGTTCAGTCTGTACTGGGAGGGGATTATGAATCCTGTTGGGTGTGGGATGGGACCCAGTCTGTAACAGGAGGGGTTAAAGGGGTCAAGTTTAAACTGGGAGGGGGCCAAGTCTGTACTGGGAGAGGTTAAAGAGATACAGTTTATACACAGACAAGGCCCAGTCTCTACTAAGAAGGGGTCAGGGGATCCAGTTTGTACTGAGATGAAGCCCAGTGTGTACTGGGAGGGGATTAGGGGATCCAGTTTGTACTGGGACAGGGCCCAGTCTGTACTGAGGCGTGAGAGGGATCCAGTTTATACTGAGATGAAGCCCAGTCTGTACTGGGAGAGGTTTAGGGGATCCAGTCTGGACTGCCACAGGGCCCAGTCTGTACTGAGGGGTTAGAGAAATCCAGTTTGTAATTTAGGGGGCCCAGTCTGTACTGGGAGGGGATAAGGGGATCCAGTTTGGACTTGGATGGTGCCTCGTCTGTACTGAGAGAGGTTAAAGGGATCCTGTTGGTACTGGGATGGGGCTCAGCCTGTACTGGGAGGGAAGCAGGGGATCCACTTTGGTGTGAGATGGGGCCCACTCTGTACTGGGAGGGGTTAAAGGCATCCAGTTTGTAACAGGATGGGGCCCAGTCTATACTGGGATGGGATCACAGGATAGAATTTATACTGGGACGGGTGCCAGTCTGTTCTGGGAGAGTATAAATGCAGCCAGATTGGACTTGGACAGGGTCCATTTTGTACTGGGCGGGGTTAAAGCGATCCAGTTTGTACTGTGGTTTAACCCCAGTTGGCAACTAAGGACCACATAGCTCACTGTCCCCCTCGCAGTAGGATGGGGAGAGAAATGGGGAAAAACAAAAAAAAGTGAGTTGAGATAAAGACAGTTTAATAGGACATCAGAGGAAGAAAAAAATAATAATAATGATGATAAAAGAACATACAAAACAAATGTTGCACAATGCAATTGCTCAGCACCTGCTGACCGATGCCCAGCCCATCCCTGAGCAGTGATCGCTACCCCCCAACCAACTCCCCCCAGTTTATATACTGAGCATGAGGTCACATGGTATGGAACAGCCCCTTGGCCAGTCTGGGTCAGCCCCCCTAGCTGTGCCCCGTCCCAGCTTCTTGCGCACCTGGCAGAGCATGGGACACTGAAAAGTGCTTGACCAGTATAAGCACTACTTAGCAACAACTAAACCATCAGGGTGTTATCAACATTATTCTCATCCTAAATCCAAAACACAGCACTATGCCAGCTACTAGGAAGAAAGTTAACTCTATCCCAGCCAAAACCAGGACAGTATCCACCCGTACATAGATTCCATACAACCTATGTCATGTCCAGGTCCTACCCTTTCCAATACATTCCAATTAATCACAACCACTTTTCTGGTCTTTTGATATATACACACAGATGTCATTCCCTTAGTCCATGGGCCATCCCTCTAAAATGTCCGTTGAGTTCATTTAGACCATGACTTTGGGCTCCATCTGTCATAACAGTCTTTCAGGGCAGGAGAGATGGTGTGTGGTGCTGGATTGTTGCATGCTGAAGTCAGTTCTGGTTCCACCACTGCTGCACTTTCCTCTGTTTCATCAAAGTTCATTCTTCGTTAATCTGGGTGGTTCTTACTGTAATACCATTGATATGGCATATAGCCACCACAGAAGTGATGACATCATACACTTTCATTGGCCCAAGAGGGCCAATGGCATCCAAAGGCTCCCTTTCAGTTTGCAAAGTCCC